AGGCGCTCGGAAAAAATCTGCATCTCTAAACGGTATGTACGACGCCGGAGTTGACCGAACGCTGTGTGCTGGCCTTGCATACCATCCATATGCGGCAAGTGTGTTTCGGGCGTCTTTACTACGGAGTACTAACACCAGAAACGGAATGTAACGCTGCTTGTGCCTTGCGTTGGCTTCAAAGATCAGGAGATTACTTGCACATGCACCGCAGTTACTAGTACTACAATGTACTTCACATTGAAATACGAGTACAACATTGAACCCGTATCATGGTTGTCAATAGTATCTCAAGCAACTGGCAGTCGTGACATCATATGTGTGCTATGTGGCGGTGGACGTGCAGATGTGTTCGAGGCCTTCCGTGTCAAGGTTGGGAATATTACAATCCCCCGGGCTCTTCTCATTGAGCTTGCTGACGTCTTGGGTGGTGCTTTCGGAGAATCTCCTACAAACATGGAGTGCCTAAAGTTCTGTGCTTTGGGTTTTCCATGACGAGCTTGTCCAAGGAGCTCTAAAATAGTTGAGCGAGCAATTGCGCGGAACATGGCTGTTTAATAGTATGCTAAGATATTCACCGGCCCCTCCAGGCTGTCGTTTAGCAAGGATTTCAATCCTGCGCCTAGGATCCCCCTGGTCATGAAAGGCTACGCACGTACCGAGTGTGCATGCAAGTGTCAGCATGCAAAACGAGTGATTGAAAAGGGGAACCAGCACGCATTTTGGCCTGACAAAACCATATTGGGAAATTTCAGCGCTGGAAGTCAATTGGTCTGATCAGAATGTATGTACAGCGCAAGGAAATGACTGGTATTATCGAACCAAGGCAAATCCATTCCTCGGCCACGGCTGCTGATCCGGCAGTTGCCGGCCCGCCTCAAATGCGCCACACTGGATACTGGAAGCTGACCGACGTCCGCTAGAAAGTGAGTTAGGGTGAGTCTATCTGGTGGCTAATGAGATACGATCGAGTAGGATTCAGATCCAAAGCACGCTGAGTGGTGGCTTTGCTATAACGCGGGGATTTATGCTGTCAATGGATACAGTAGTACAAAAAGATGGTGGTGGATGAATAAAGCTGACTTCAATTCGCCCTGGTGTCTGTGTCCATGACATATGAACAGTCTGATATTGATCCAGTTAACTGATCACGGGGGAGGTTCCATATCCCACTGGTAAACCGGGGTTTTCTCTGCGCACGCCATTGCTATTTTGGGTATGCTTAAAAATCCAGGCCCAGTATGATTGATGATGTTGTATCAACAACGGCGAGTGGCGGGATCAAGGCAGCCTTACCGCAACTTGCCGTTCTAACGTGCTTCAATGGTGAGGTCACGGACCGGGTTCCGGTAGCAACCCGTACGATGCTACGTCGGGATCCTGGCTGTGGCCAAGTGAACATTTGACAAAATATTGATAGTCTAGGCACTTGGATGCCGATGCCGAGCTGCCGGAGCCTCCACTAACAAGGGACATATTGAATCTTGGCCAGCTGCTTTGTTGTCAGTCGAAGTCGGCGTTTGGGACATATCATGGCGGTCCTCGTAGTATCGGTAGTACCCAGTTGTCGAATTCTCCGGGCAAGTCATGTTGTGTACTTGAAACCCCTTGCCTTCTTGTTTAGAAACGCCGATAGCGACTCTTATAATTTTGCCGAGTACTAGTAATTCTTAATGCTCCACAGGTCCTCAAGCTAACTGTATACTACTTGAACAGAACCCTGTCAACTCTTACAAGGACCAAACAACTTTGTCAGCTCGTGGCCCCTTTGTCTGTTTTAGATACGTCGGGGCTTTATTGGAGAGAAAACATCAGCGCTATGTTGGATCCATTATTATTCTGAATGACGATTGGGAGCGTAACGTAGTCTCTCAACACAAGTTGCCGAGCTGCTATGGTAGGTTCTCAGTGGCCAGTTTTGTCTGTATCTTTGAGTAAAGAAACCTGCCTCGTAACATTAGTCTCCAATTAAGCTGCTAGGAATATGCAACTTCTCCCCTCACTTGGCCTACGCAAGTAGGAATGAAGGTGATCCGCTCGGCCTTGACGATTGACAACTACCGAAATCTGACACGATGGCTGACGGAATTCGTCTTGTCCGTGTACCGTATCTTTGACTATTCACATGCTGAAATACCCACACCCGTTGTCAAAAAAATCTCTAGGGCTTACAACATAGCACCCCGGGCGGGACGGCCCAGGAACAGATGCAGTGTGGATCGTCGTCGAATTGCCTCTACGAGACAACGCAACGGCGCTAGAAACTCCGGCCTCTTCTACCGTGGCAGAGTGTAACCACATCGAAGATTTGAGCACCAAGTCCGCAGAACCGGGTCCGCCAAGTGACGGCATCACCTCGGTATATACTTGGGCCGGCTGGGGGGTAGACTTCTAGTGCTCAAGTAAGAGTGGTGAGACACGTATTTGAGCCGGGTATAAGCAGTCTTTGCGGTGGTTCTATCCGCACTCCTGTCCCAATGGCGGATAGATGGGGGCGTGGGACCCGCGGGGAGGATGCTTGGATGCAATGGCTAGTCAGGAGAGCCTTGTTTGTGCCCCATGGCTGTCGAGTTGGAGATCGATTGAGAGAGGGAGAGGTTGGAATAGAGGGTCCGGATCAGTATATAAGGAGACGTAGATCTCGACCTCTCTTGGGGAAACAAAACAGCAGCAGCAACAACAACAATCAAGCACTCATCCTCTTGATAGTCCCAAACTGCAGAAAACAAAAATGCATCTGTCTTCAACAGTCCTCATGGCTGCCGCCGGAGCGGTGGCCCAGTCGAGCGTCGACCTGTCCGGCCTTCCAGCATTCTTGAAGTCGAGCTCAAGCACCAACTGGCCAACGCTCCTCAACATTGGCCAGCAGATCTGGAACGATCCAGAAGTTGGCCTGGACGAGACTCACGCCCACGACCGGATTGTCAGCTACTTCTCTTCGGTTGCCGGCTGGACTGTAGAAGGATCGGCTTACACCGGCCTCCCTACTGCATTCAGGGCCGAGTTCGACAACCGACCTTCAGGCTTTACCGGCGATCTCCCTACCGTGGGCTTTCTGGCCGAGTACGACGCTCTGGTCGGCATTGGCCATGCCTGCGGCCACAACCTCATTGCCCTCAACGGCATCTCAGCCGCCAAGTTTGCCAGTGAGGCGCTGGCACACTTCAACATCCCCGGCCGCATCATCGTCGTCGGAACCCCTGACGAGGAGAACGCGGCTGGCAAGTTCAAGCTCAACAACTTGAACGCCTTTGCCGACTCCGACGTCTGGCTGATGGCTCACCCAACCACCACGAGCGCCATCCAGCCCATGAACGCCCGCCTCAACTACTTTGCTACCTTTGTCGGCAGCACGCACGCCCAGGCCGTTGCAAACGCCTACAGTGCCCTGAACATTGTGCAGAACCTGAGCGGACTGCCCGGAACCAGTTCCAGCGCCGTTGGTATCGAGAACGTCGGCGTCTACGCGACCAACATTGTGCAGACCCTCATCAAGCTTGGTGTTGCTGGCTCGGACCTTGCTACCGTCACCAAGACTGTTTCTGGCATCCTCGATTCATCCTACCCCAACGTCACCTTCTCCGCTGCTCAAGATGCCGACGGCGTTGCCCTGACCTTCAACGGACCCGGTGGCCATGCTTCAGAGGCAACCAAGGGACCGCTGGTGCTCTCGGTCAACACTTTCAACGCCCTCAAGAACACTGCTGGTGTCTCATTCTATCTCCCTAGCAACACGTCCGCCACCGAGCTCGACATCACCATTGACATGCGCACTCGCTACACCACCGACATCAACACCGTGGCCAACTTTGTCAGCGCCGCCCTCGGAACTCTTCCCAAGAGCGTCTCCCACGATGTCAAGTACCCGTCTCTGGAGGTGACGCCGTTCCTCGGCACGCAATTCGTCAGCATTGTCGGAACAGCCGACTATGGACTGACCAACTTCCCCGTCAGCACCTTTGCTCCCGCCTCCACCGATGCCTCGTGGGTTCAGGACCCCGTCCTCGACGCTTCTCACAACCTGACGGGCGCGGCCAAGGCAGTGCTTCACGCCAACTACGGCATCTGCACAAACCCTTCGGGCGCTGGCTGCGCTTTCAACCACGAGCCCCTCTTCAAGGCTCTGGCTAACACCGACTTTGCCTACGCCCAGACGGAGATTGTGGCCAGAGCAGAGGCTCAGCTCGCAGTGCAGCTGCTGGCTGACCCCAACCAGATGACGCAGGCGACCAAGATTATCTCGCAGTAATGGACTGGCGACTGCGGATTGTGGATCGATGATGTGTATTACTCGGTCGGAATATGGGACCGAAATGATAATGTAATGTAGAATGATATAGAGGCTTAGACCAATGGAGAATCACCATGCATATGGTATAACTCAGACCTTCCGCGTCCCCTACCTTGTGACTGATGATTTGATTCTAGTTTGTAGTTTGTTAATGCCAGATCAAGCATAGCGAGGCAAAGGAATCTGTTCCACTTTATAAGCGTGATAGCCCATTTCGTCACGTAACTTGTTGACGATGTTTTAGTTACATGTGTAAAGATGCAACTGCTTCTGATTCATCGAAGCCATGGAACCCGCATGGCCTCCCTTTCGTCCGTCTGTGTCGCCAATGACATTTACAGGCCATCTTGGATCTACCGTCAAAACTCGAGTTGATTGCATATACGGAGGTTTATGCATGAGAATGAGGGGAAGGATAGGGCTAGCCGGTGGCGTCCAACTCTCCTATTCAGGCGCCCTCAAGCGAGCGGTCAACATGGGTTAGTCGCCGAATGAGAGTTAAGAGAGATTGATCTTATTCAATGCAATTTAATTTTGACGGCGCCTTGGCTGCCGCATTGCGTCGCGCCTCGATGATGCTGTGTAACCGCCCCGATTCGACCCTCCGGACGCCTGTGTCACCCCATGGAATGGCTGTGGGATCCACGAGACGACGATTTCCTCTCCGGACATGCTCGAGAACTCGCGGCCATGCAGCTGGGAGTTCCGGTATTTAGCGCGACGGGTCACAAAGGTTGGCAAAGACCTGCCAGAGAACGACACGTTGCATTGGTGTGGGTGCTAAGCTCTTGCTGATCTGGTGAGCATTCGTTTCGTCGCATGTTGGAGACGGGAAAAGAGGAGAGAAGTGAGCAAATGCGAACCTTGGTGTTGCGCTGAATGTCTCGCAGTTGAAGAGAGGCCTGGTTGCACCAACAGTCAACAACTCTTTGGTACCTGTTTCGTGTCTGTGGTTCCCCATTTCGTAGTTCCGGTAGACTTTAGCAATTGTCTCTGTCTCTTCATGACCGGTTGCAAACTCAAGCGCCTCAGCAGCACATGGCCACTGTCCACGATCGGTGCGTAGCGGGCACTCTGGAGATTCAACTGGGATTCGCCATCCCCCTTGTTTTAACCTCCATACGGCGAAGCGATCGGAGAAAGAGCAGAATCGATTCAGGAGTAAAACCCGAACATCTGCAGAAGAAACAAATGCGCGGCAGCGGGACGGGAGGACCAGCGTCCGGCTGGCTTTTCTGCCAGCTAGCTCAGCCGTCCAATGCTAGTTCTACGGAGTGAGCGTACTCGTACATGAGCTCCGTAATCATCTCCCCGTAATACGACTCCTTGCCATGCTCCGTCGCTGTGCGTTGAAAAGCTGCTAGTAAAGCCAACAACTGCTCGTCGGCCTCTTCCTCTTCCCCACCCTCTGTCATCGAACCCCCGGCTCCACGCCGATCCTACCCTCAGCCGTTCTTCAATCATCTTCAACGCCGTCTTCATGCGGGCTGGCCCTCTTTTCACACTCTTCTCCTTGTCCCCGTTGGTTTGATGTCGCACATACATGTACATACATACAGCAGCATGAGCAACCGACTGTTGGCCGGCTCGATCGGATAAGTGACAGGTGCCTGTTTTCACAAGCGAAGCCAGAGAAGTGCCTGAACTCTTTTTGCTTGGCGACGCAGCCGAGGCAGGCCAAGGCTGCATCAGGATTGCATCGGCGACTCTAGCTGCGGTTTGCTCTCGTATGTTTGGACATTGAGACGGGGGAAACTCGAGACTTTCTGGGGGGGCGAGACCCGGGACTGCGCGACAAGACGCACGCGTCTGCAAGTAAACTACATATGCTTACTCGACCACTTGCTCATCTGCATACGAAGCACATGTTTTGACGCTCTGCGGTCATACAACGAGGGTCATCATTGGCGGACTCCGGGCTGGGTGGTGTTTGCTCCTGCGGCTGTAGTGTTTGTACGGAGGGCGCCCACGGTTACGAATTACCATATATATTGGGATTTAACCGTCTGCAACCCCTTGCTTCTCAGCTGTTTTTCTCTCGCCTGCTCCTCGATCAATTGCGCTCAAACGAGAGTCGAAGAGGAAACTAGAGAGACTAACTGAGCATCAACGAGGAGGGAACTGGTTAAGAGAAACTGAAAGAAAGAGGAAGTGGAGAGGAGAGGGATAATCGGAATAAGAACGCGTTCGCTTGTATCAACAAATCCATGGACAATAATCCGGGACAAAGCTCCCCAGGTGCGGCTGGTGGAAGCAGTCAACAGCAAGAGCACACGTCGGAAGGCATCCTCCCAGCTGGCCATTGGCAAGAGGTTAGTGCATTGCGAGAAGCTTCAGGCAAGGAAACTTATGCAAACAGGTTTCGCAGCGAGAAGGCAACCGACCCGAAGACGACGACTTCGATGACGACGACGATTCTGCGCTTGGTTCCGATGCTGGCAGCTCGACTGCTTCGATCACGTCGAGCATTCTACAGTATCGAGAAATTCACGGGCGAAGATTCCATGGCGAGACCGGCACAGCGCAGTACTGGTCAGTGGATGCGTCTACCCCCTTACGAGATATTGACTGGTGGTTTGGAAGACGGATACTGACTTGGGCAATGTGACGACAGGCAGTCCAACGACGAGGCGGCAAATGAATCGCTGGACATAAAGTGAGTGTGACAACGCTAATAATACTCTTGTCAAAACAAGATACAGACAGCACTCATATGGACGCAATTCGGAACCAGAGCTGACCAGTGCGTGCGATAGTCATCATGCTCTTACAATGGCAATGGGGGACAGGCTCCTCATGGCGCCATTGATCAAGGAAAATATCAGAGTCAGTTCAATACCGCCCTCTCTCAATATTTTGACGTGCACCTTTGATACGGTTAAACTGACGCAAGGCATTTTGCGATTAGAAAGCCCTTGATATAGGCACCGGCACAGGTTAGCTGCCCGTTTACAATACTCTGGTCACGCCGTTCTTTATTTCCTGAAGCTGACTTTTCCTTCTTTTTCCAACAGGAATATGGGCCATGTGAGAATCATTGCCTACAGCGGCCTCTGTGCATGGATCATACTAACACATGTGCAGTGACTTCGCAGATGAGTATCCTGATGCTCAGATCGTTGGCACCGACATTTCCCCCATTCAGCCAACATGGGTACCTCCCAACCTCCAATTGTGAGTTTATACCAGCAACACATTTGTCATTCCCCGCAGACGCCTTCCATCACGGCATACACGTCCATACAAGATGACTCATTTGACAAATAAAATAGTGAAATCGAAGACTGCACGCAGGATTGGACATTTCGCAGCCAAGACTTTGACTATGTGCATATGCGGTGGCTCCTTGGCAGCATCCAAGACTGGGACGCCCTGCTGCAGCAAGCATATCGCGTACTGCGGCCAGGGGGTTACATCGAGAGCTTGGAGACTTCAGCCATTATGACGAGCGATGATGGCACCGTCACGGAGACGTGTCCCATGGGGCAATGGGGCAAGTTCTTCATCTCCGGAGGCAAGAAGATTGGAAGATCCTTTACTGTTGTCGAGGACGAGACACAGAGAAAGTCGATTGAGGCAGCCGGCTTTGTCGACATTCAAGAATTCAATTTCAAGGTACGTCGACGCCTTGATAATCAAAATATGAACCATTCCATGACTGACAGGGCTGGCCTTGCAGATGCCGATAGGAGGCTGGGCAAAGGACCCGAAGCTGAAGGAGCTCGGGCAAGTCGCACAGATGGTCCTCGAAAGAGACGTCGAGGGCTACATCGTCTTCATGGCAAACACGCTGGGGTGGACGCGGGAGGAGATTTTGGTGTACATCAGCATGCTGCGGCGGGATGTCAGATCGAAAAACTTTCACGCATATTATAATCAAAAAGTGGTGTGGGCACGGAAGCCATTGGATGGAGAACAGCGATGACACCTTTTTATTTCAAGCCATTTCTTTTTCATGTTTACGCTAGCTTTTCTAATACCAGGTGTTTTCCGATTGTGTGCCGTGGTGGACACGAAGGCTTCTTTATCAATATACGAACTCGCTTGTTTGCTTCTTGCATTCTTTTTGTGAACTGGGCCAGCGGAATACGAACGCCGCAGTCCATGTATGCTGTTCACCATTCCATCTGCTGCTGCACGTCAAGAGTTTTTGCCTTTATATCCAGTGCTGCAAGGACGATTAAGCGAGACACGTACGTGTTGTCAAGTTTTTTATGGACACCGATGCATCTCGAATAAACCCTAGGATCATTTGGAGGTTTTGCACATCCTCATTGGCAGAAATTATCTGTGATGGCGTCCCGGACAGGGTTATCGGCGGCGGTTAGACTCAAAGGATGCTCAAATCCGACTTCACGGGTTCCACAGCTGCTGCACCAACGGCCGTTCAACCGCTTTCGGTATGCTTGTTCATGTACAGCAGGCTACATGTAGTCTGCTGGCTCCTTTGACCTGTGCAACTTGCATGCAGATACGTGTACGTGGGGGTTGTTGGAATGATACCCGAACAGGCCATCGAGATGAGAAATGAAGTGACAATTACTCTGTACACCCGGATGAAACTCTGGCAATCGAGCAGATTCTGCAAGATCGTAGGACTGCGATATGCGAGAAATTGCTTAGAGGAAGGTGAAAAAGTCATTGCATGTGTCGCTGTTAGTTGAGTGGACTTGGGATATGTCTTGTATCCGGAACTTGGCGGTTTGTCCCCTAGTACTCTTTGTGAGGCGCAATTGATTCTCTCCAGACTCAGATTCTCTCAGATCTCCAACACAAGAAACATTTTCCCACTTTACTATTGTTTCTTCAGCGCATATCAAAAGCATTGATCGACGAAGCGCCCAGACGCTAGTCTCCAAGCCGAACATTTCGGCATTTGACACCCCAGAGCGAAACAGGCATGGAAGAGCTATGACCTGCAGTTATATCATCATCTCTCGTTATCTCTTTGTATACAAAAGCCAAAGCTCTGACCCCCAGCCTCATCAACATGATGAATCTCAGCCTCGAGACTCAAGCTGGCCTTGTCAGGATAAATTGCTCGGGAAATAGCATACGAGTAAATCCATGAGCCACACAAACCAATAGGGCGGCAGCCCCCCCACTAAAACTTGCCAAATCAAACATCGAATCGAAACGCCTCATTCAAGTTCTGAAATGCTCTACGGAGTACATCTTGGATACAACGCAAGGCTCTGTCGAGGCCTGGTGGAGAGAACGCGGCGATATATCTGCACAAGCTCATACAGGACGACGCAAATTACGAGACAAGCACCAGCCATGGCCTCTGAAGAGCCGGCCGGGACTCACCTGGCCTTTCACCATGACGGAAAACTGCTCAGCTTGAAGACTGAACTGCTATCAATACGACCATTCGCTGCGGTAGAAGAGCAAAACCGCGCCATTTTCAAAGATGCTGGCGACGATGATTACGTTGTCGTGACCAAGGAAACCATCTTCCATCCGCAGGGCGGTGGCCAGCCATCTGATGAAGGCACAATCTCAGCAACCGCGTCGGAGGAGGGCCAGGCTCCCGTCTCTATCGACATCAGGGCAGCACGCATGGACGTTGTAAACGATGGTCTGGTTCTACATCTCGGCCGCTTCAAAGATGCCTCAACCGCAGGAAAACTTCGGCCAGGCGATGTCGTCGAGCAGGCGATTGACGCAGAGAAGCGCCTCCTCTACTCGCGGCTACACACTGCGGGCCACGTTCTTGGATCAGCCGTGAGGCATCTGCTGGAGAAGGAAATCGAGGGCTTCGACGAGCTCAAAGCATCTCACTTCCCCGACAGCGCGGCCTGCGAGTTTCGTGGCCTGATCGAGGGCAAGTGGAAGCAGCCGATCCAGGACCGGGTCGACGAGTATCTTGGCCGCGCAATGCCGGTAGAGATTGACTTTTGGACCGAGGACGACTTCCGACGAGAGGGCCTAGAGCGCTTGATTCCGGACCGAAGCCTGTTGCCTCCCGGCGAGACCAAGTTTCGCGTGGTGCGCATTGTAGGAGCGGAGGTTTATCCTTGCGGAGGCACACACGTCGACACGACGGACTTGTGCGGCGCAACGACGGTGAAGAAGATTGGGAGGAGCAAAGGCATCAGCCGCGTCAGCTACACGGTTGCTTGATGGGCGAATTTGGGAGACCGATAACGGCACGACGTTGAAGCAATAAACGGCCACTGGTATAGATGATTGCAACTCGTACGTACATCTCGACGCATAGATACATTGATAGAGGTGATTAGGCTCGCTTGGCATGGGGAAATAGAACGGATAGGCCGCAGTCAGCCGCCATCGTGTCAATATTTACTGTTCCTGTGATGCAAAAACGTGGCGTTGAGGCAAGTTGGCCGATCTAGCTCCAATCTCCGACCTCGCTCCAGGCAGGAAATAAGTTTCCGGTGACAACGATCGTCCCAGCTGCAACTACTAGCAGTACCTAGTTTACATGTGCATTCACGGGTATTCAAATGATAAATCTCCTATCAGGGAAGGCTGCCAAATCCGGGCCATACCATCACAGCCCTGGGCGCCGCAGCCGCTGCTAGGGATCGTGAAGCCATCGCTAGTTATTCCCAAACCACAAAAGTTGACGATAGATTGCCTTCTTGTTGAGGCTAGCTGGCGGCTTGTGCCACCGAGAATCTCCTCAGAGTTGGAGACCGACCCGCACCGTATGAGAACACGGAGCGTGCCACAAGCTTCTTCTGACCATCCCCGCATTGGTGACATCGGATTTCGATGTTTCGTGGGGAGATGGAGAGGAGATGGGACATTACAAGCAAGGAACGTGGTGGTGGGAAGCGAATTTGCTGTGAATCGAATTGTCGGTTTTGAGTTGTTGAAAAGTATCCATCACTCTTCGTTACTCAGTTCTTCCATGCAAGCAAAAGCACCTTGGCAGTATTTCCCATAGCCATCATCGATCATGGGCAGCGAGTTTCCCTTCACTCTGGCAGACGCAAGTCTTGGCCAGCTGGATTGTCTTGTTGATGGAGAGTCTGTTGTTGCCAAGTCAGGCCAGCGCTTCCAAGTCATCGATCCAGGTTCTGGAAACTCTTGGGCGTCATGTCCAGACTGTCGCGAAGAAGACGTTGATGCTGCGGTCCAATCCTCACATCGGGCGTTCCAGAGCTACTCCAAATGGACGCCCAGACAGAGAGCGCAGACATTGCTGAAATGGCACCAGGAGATTATCGCTGCGCGAGACGATCTGGCAAAGATTCTGGTCCACGAGACGGGCAAGCCTCTTGCGGAAGCCTATGGCGAGATTGACTACGCCACCACCTTTACTTGGTGGTTTGTAGGCGAGGCTGAACGAGTTCAGGGATCTTCCATTGTCTCGGCGATTCCAGGTCGGAGGGCGGTCACCATCAAGCAGCCCGTTGGCGTTGCTGCTGCTCTTGTGCCCTGGAATTTCCCCATCGCCTTGACTCTCCGAAAGGCGAGCGCGGCTTTGGCTGCTGGCTGCACCATGATTGTCAAGCCTTCCCCTGAGACGCCCATCACGGCCCTGTCTGTGGCACGACTTGCATTAAAGGCTGGATTTCCCCCAGGAGCACTCAACGTGCTTACCACGAGCCTCGAAGGCACACCAGGACTGGCCGAGGCACTCTGTCTGCATCCACTGGTCAAGAAGGTAACCTTCACCGGCAGCACCAGGGTTGGAAAGATCATTTCGGGTCTGTGTGCAAGAAATCTGAAGAAATCTACCATGGAGCTTGGCGGCAATTGTCCGTTCATCATCTTTGACGACGCCAATCTCGACCAGGCACTTGGACAACTCATGGGACTGAAGTGGCGACATGCAGGCCAGGCATGCGTTTCCTCAAACAGAGTCTATGTCCAGCGAGGCGTGTATGACAAGTTTGTCGACCTCGTTGTCAATGCCACGTCTCAGCTGAAGATGGGCCATGGCATGGATGAGGGCACCACTCTCGGCCCAGTGACCACCCCAAGGAGCCTTGATAGAGCTGAGGATATGGCCAAAGATGCTCTGGCCAAGGGAGCAAAGCTGGTATATGGCACAGGAAAAAGAGATGCACCAGGTAGCGGAGGCTATTTCATGGCGCCAACCGTCTTGACAAACGTCACTGACGACATGCTCATGAGCCAAGATGAGATTTTCGCGCCTCTCCTTGGATTCTCAGTGTTTGATACGGAAGAAGAAGTGATTCAAAGGGCGAACAACACGGCCATGGGCCTGACTAGTTATGCTTTTACAAAGAATGTGGACAGGCTGTGGAGGCTCTTTGAACTACTAGAGGCAGGCATGGTTGGCTTGGTAAGTTATCTTGCGTGACCGATGGTATGTTGGAGAATCATTGCTAATGGGAAACTGTGTAGAACACTGGAAACAACTCTTCCGCAGAGGCGCCCTTTGGAGGCATCAAGGAAAGCGGCTCGGGCAAGGAGAGTGGAAAGGATGTGGCGATTGAAGAGTTTATGATTACAAAGAGTGGCACATTTACTATTGAAGGCTTGTAGATGGCGTTGTGAATATAGATGAGATTCTACAAGTCTTTTCTCGGCCGGCTGCTATTTTACGTGATTGGATTTTCTGCATGACTTTACTGTGGCCTGATAAGTTCAGGCTTCCATATCGTTCTTTGCTGGAAGGAGGCATCTATGGCCATTTCATCGTGAACATGAGAAGGGAAACGTTGCCCCGAAGTACCTTGAATTGTCAGAAAACATAAGCCCTGATTAATTCATCATTTCATTTTTATTTCTAGACTGCGTCATGAATAATCAAGTATTTTACAATCAGATACCTCCATCATACACATCGTCCACCATCCACCTCGAGATTCACCCCCGTAATAAATGCAGCCTCGTCGCTGGCAAGATAGCAGCAGGCGTTGGCAATGTCTGCCGGTGTTGACGGTCGGCCAAGAGGAACCGTCGCCACAAAGGTTGATATATCTGTAGACCCCAGGAAGAGATTGGTCCTATCATGAAACAGTCAGTAAAAGGTATAAACACGATGGCCTGCACGTGCACTCACATTCCAGTGACGCCAACTACTGGAGAAACGGCGTTGAATCGAATCTGTTTGGGGCCATATTCAGAGGCGAGAGCCTTGGTAACGGTAATGGCAGCTCCCTTGGAGGCGCTGTACCATGCCAAACCGCCACGGGGCCGAATTCCAGCTGTTGATGCAATCTGGATAAAGTTGCCAGGGCGATTCTCCTTGAGCAAGTACGGTACAACGACTTGTGTCGACATATAAATGGACTTGACATTGACGTTCATCACCATGTCAAATTCCTTTTCCGTTACACTCTCCGTCGCCTTGTTTGAGTAAGATGCACCGGCATTGTTCACAACGATATCCAGCTGTCCGTATTCCTTGATGGCCAGCGCCAATGCGGCTTCCCAGTCGGCCTTTTGGGTGACATCGGTGCGAATAAAGACGCCGCCGAGCTCAGAGGCAACCTGCTTTCCGGCGTCTTCTGAGAGATCCGCGACAATGACTCTGGCACCTTCTTGGGCGAATTTTGTGGCAATGCCTCTACCGAAGCCAGAAGCGGCACCGGTGACGATGGCAACCTTGCCCGCGAGACGTTCTGACGACATTTTTGTCTTTGGTTTGCTTGGAGGGATTGTGACGATGGAGGCGTCTATGAGTTTACACAATGAAATAAGTAGAGACGGAGATATCTAACGAGAGAAAGTGAGAGCTGTAGACGCAAGACTTTTTGTCTGATTTCACATCATGTGCGTGCGACAATGAACCCCTCTCGTTGCCGTGGCCTACAAGTGGTTCATCTTCAAAATGTCAATCCGTATACAGTGCGGCGTCCCTTGAGCCAATTTAGATCCGCCAGCTAGGGCCATTCATTCTCTTCGCCTTTAACCAAGGGGATCCCACTCGTGCAATCGTGGTTAAAACCGGCCGTGTGGGGAAGCTTGTGAAGGGGGCGTCTGTTTTGCCTCTCCGCGGATGCGGGGTTGTCCGGGGGGGTTTATTAGATTCCCAGTGGGACGATGATGGATTGAGTAAGAATCATCTTGGAGCTGGTTCCTGTGATCACTGGAACCTACCACTTGCTTGGCGTGGGTGTAGGAGCCGTGATGGGACATTTCGTTTGAAGAGCCGATCTCGGATCAGGAGGAACGCTGACATCAGGGCCGGTGAGGAACTGGAACTGGAAACCAGAGGCCTAGAATGTGATGTAAGACGGCCAGTCGATACCAGGTCAGACTTTGATTATTGCACACGAAAGAGAAAAGCAGAGAAAAGCCACAGCCCGGGCAGAGTCATTGTCACTCTTTACTTGAAAAGCCAACAACCACCCTGCACAATGGCTCAGACATTTCACATTCTCGTTCTCCCTGGCGACCATGTCGGCCCCGAAATCATGGCCGAAGCCCTCAAGGTCCTCGACGTCGTAGAACAGTGCCGGCCGAACCTCAAGTTTGAGCGCACGTTCGACCTCGTTGGCGGCAGCAGCATTGACAAGCACGGAGTCCCCGTGACAGAACAAGTCCTCGACAAGGCCAGCAAAAGCGACGCCGTGCTGTTCGGCAGCGTGGGCGGGCCAGAGTGGGCAAACGCGTCTCCCAACCCAGAGGCCGGCATTTTGGGACTTCGACAACGGCTGGATGCGTTTGCAAACCTGAGGCCGTGTGAGATCCTGGTCCCGAGTTTACTCGAAGCCTCGCCACTCAAGCCAGACATCGTCAAGGGCACCAAATTCATCGTCGTCCGCGAAAACTGCGGCGGCGCGTACTTTGGCGACAAAGTCGAGAAGCCCGAAGTCGCATCAGATCTATGGGTATACGAGCCCCGAGAGGTTGAGCGCTGTGCCCGTGTATCGGCCGCCGTGGCTCGAATCCTCGGAAAGAATGGCGATGGCAAAGGCGGCGATGGTCCGGCCATTGTGTGGAGTGCAGACAAGGCAAATGTCCTTGCCAGCGGGAGACTCTGGCGCCGAGTGACTCAAGACATCTTTGACAGAGAGTTTCCAGACATTGACCTGCGCCATCAGCTTGCGGATAGCATGGCGATGCTCATGGTCAAGAACCCGCGCGGCTTCAACGGCGTGATTCACACGGACAACACCTTTGGCGATATTCTGTCGGACATTTCGGGTGGCATCGTCGGCAGCCTTGGGACGCTGCCGAGCGCGAGCATCTCCGGCATCCCAGGACAGGGGAAATGCAATGGAATCTACGAACCGGTGCATGGAAGTGCGCCAGATATTGCCGGCAAGGGCATCGTGAATCCCGTTGCGCAGATTCTTAGTCTGGCGATGCTTCTGAGGTACTCGTGCGTGCTTGTGGACGAGGCGGCGGCCATCGAGAAAGCTGTTCAGACAGTATTCGATTCGAAAGAGGCGGGTGGACTCGGCATTCGCACAAAGGACATGGGGGGTGAGGCCGGGACAAAGGAGGCTGGTGATGCCATTGCTGGCGAGGTTCGGCGTCTCTTACAAGCGAGCTGAGTTGCACAAGATGAAGGTGATGCTTTGGGTTCTTGGAAGATGAGATGCCAATACGGATTCTTGGAAATAAATACACTGAAGTAGTAAATCCGTATTTAGTCCAGAGTCAACTACCTGGACTTTACTGCATGACTCTGAATATCATCAACAACAACTTTGAGCAAACTCCAGCTGCCGCAGCAACTCTCCGGCACCATCACTTCCACCACCTGTCAACGGGCCGCCCAGAACTGTGATGTTTGATTAGCCTTTTTCATCTGATCTTTTTGCCTATTAATTTTATTTTTCTTCGCCAAGTGAAAATCGCGCTGCTTTCTCTCCGCCTTCGCGTTTTCTCTCTCTTCCTCTCCATCTCACATTGTTGCAGAGTCACGCCTCGGCCACCAGCATCTCTCGGCGAGAAATACAGATACTGCATCCTGGGTATGTATCCAAGCTCATCCATACCTGCTTTGCCTCTCTTCTTCTGTCTCACGATATTAAACAGTTTGCAGTTCGCCCGCCGACACCCATCCATCAACGATGCCTTGCAAGAGAAAGAAGCCGATGATCATGTTGTCGTACAAAGACCTTGTACGACCACGCATCAAGGGCAAACCCCCGCGGCAAGTCAAGAAAGGAGACCCTGAATGGGAAGATGGCATCAAGTGTATCAAGGCATACCATTCCCAAGCCACTGTTTTATCTCCAGCCGACCGGCAAGAGATGCGAGAGATCATACGGCGCCTCCGCTACGTTATTTCTCCCTCGGCCAAACATGCGCCATCATCGCACACACTCATGAAGGCCCATCAAAGGAACATCAAGAAAGGGAACGCTCCGTCGTGGCCCATTTTCATTATCCTCAAGACTCTGTACGGCAGTGCCTTGCCCAAGAAGTACAGAACATGCATTCGCAACACCTTTGGCACGACAGAGCTCGACGACCACACACATGAGTATTTTGCACTTGATGGTGCAGAGCCTGCTGAGCCCGACGCTACTGAGGAGGATTATCCGAGGTCACCTTGGCAAGATGGGATCTTGGATGACAAAGCCAAGATCTCCAAAGAGACAAAGAAACGTGACGCATCGGCGTTGGACATTGAAGATGGCAGTTCTTCCGCCAATAAGCGTACAAAGGTGAGAGGCGCTGAAAGCCTCTCTTTGCCTATGCAACTGGCGAACGCCGTCTCCGAACAACAGACTGCTAGAGAAGGAGGTTGTGAAGGCTCGATTGGAAAACTCTGGGAGATGATTGACAACAAGTTTGAAGCGATGCGGGCGGACTTTGAGCGACACGAGAAGGACAAGTTGGAGGTTCGAAATAGGGAGCTTCAAGCGGTGATGATGGAAGCAGTCAAGTCTCATGGAGAATTTTTGTTGAGACTTGCGGAAATTGCCTGGCAAAGGCCTGCTGCTCTTCAGGACGCTGACGTTTGACACCAACCGGCCGCCAGTGTCTCGTGTTCATTCGACTACGTGGGCATTGAGAGCCGTTGAGAGCTTCTCGTTTATTTCTTTTGAGTTTGTTAGCAGGATTCGTATATCGACCGGCTGCAGTTCTGGTGGTAGTCTTCAGATAGCTTGATCATTGATCCGCGCAGTTTGCCGCACTCGGCTTTGCCACACTTGGTTTCGCATATTTCTTCAAACGACCAGAAATGTTACGTGAGCTGAATTGAATCACATTAATCTGTTTATACATGGTTATTTTGGCTAAACTCGTCTACCGAGCTGGTTCACTGTCAGTCGATGCTCTTGTTGAGGTATTGATGTGGTGGTTCATGGTGCATGAAAAACTCCTTGTACGTACCTGACTGGGAATATGGTCTATACTGCTTATACCAGGCCAAGAGAACATTGAACGCACTGTGATGGCGTAGAAAAGCTAGATAACTTTGAACCAGTGTGATGAAATATTTGGTAATGGAAACTGTCGTACACTGAAGCACATAGGCATGCACAACAAATAACCACAACTTGAGAAACAGAAATTCTCAAAAGACGCACGAAAGTAGCAGATACGAGAAAGAAAAAAAGGTAGAGAGTCTGTTATTTAAGACATCGTCTTCATAAACGATGAATTATTAGCGGAATTACTTTGTTAAACAAGTCTTGCTATATCTTTCGCTGCTTTACTTTATTTATACTATATGTTACATGACAGAAGCATCTCTTCATAGGTAGGTAGTCTTAATTCTTACGCAGCCAAAGCTTCTAATACCCGCCCAGTCATGGCCAGAACCTTTTCTTCCTCCAACCTCCGCGCCACAAGCTGTAAGCTGATGGGCAGCCCATGCATCAGATCGGCGTCATCTACACATTGCACCAGTTAGCATCGTATCAATAGCAGAGCGCTCAGAATGAAAGGGTAATATTAACGCACATGTCTCGTGAACGTCTTTGCAATCGCTGCTAAGCGGAGTGTAATCTTCCCGCGGTACGTCGATGCTACGATCTACATTCAACCCGGTAGGGAATGACACGGCAGAGTAATCAAGCACATTGTAGACACCAGTGTATGCAACTGTTGTTGTTCGTCTCGTCGTTAGCAAGCAGCATACAATTTGCATGCACAAGAGGCAGGACAAAAGACCACATACCATGCTTAAACGTTCCGCTCTTGACCGTGTTGAACGGTACTGTAGGCAGCAAAAGAGCATCAAGGCCAGCCTTGTTCCACCTATCCAAGTAGCGGTTCTGGAAATCGGTCCTCTCCAAGTGAAGCTTCCACATCTCCGCCGTGCCGAGTTCCCTCGCGACGCCGTAGGGGGCCATCTCGTCCCTCAAGGGCTCATCGGTTGGCTCGAGCTGTGACTTGATAGTCCTGCCGCCATCGGCCACAAACATGCGCTGCAGCAACAGGGATCCCTCTTCTTGGTCAGCATGATCCCACTCCACAATCTCATGGCCGGCGGCCTTGAGTCTGGCGACTGTGTGCTTGAGCGCGCGAGCCACCGGAGCCGTGGGCTGGACCATGCCGTCGTGCCACATGACGCCGATCCGGAGCTTTGAGGGAAGCTCTGGCTCTCTCCAGGGAATCGGCAGGCATTTGGGGTCTCTGAACCAGGGCTGGGCGCCAATCACGGCCTTGCTATAGAGTTTGATGCCGTTCAGAGTCGGGGCCAACGGGCCATTGACAGATGCGACGGCTTCTTGTCCCGCCATGCCGGATCTGCAGTTTCGTACAGGGAAACGACCGGACGAAGGGCGAAGGGTGAAGATGCCTGTACAGGCAGCCGGGATTCTAAGCGAGCCGCCTATCGTTGTATGTCAGCCACGCGTCCTTTCGCCCTCGTTGTCGGCTCTCGGGAAACTGATGCGCCTACCGATATCTGATCCAACACCAACGGGGCTGCCCTTCATGACAATGAGCGCAGATTCTCCGCCAGAGCTGCCGCCGCTGGTCGTCTGTCTGTTTCTCGGATTCAAAGTGCGTCCAAAGACATTGTTTACCGTCTCAGCAATCATCATGGCCGTGGGCACGTTTGTCTTGACATAGAAAACCGCACCGGCCTCCGCCAGCAGCTCTACCAGCGTTGCGTCCGCCTTGGCTGGATCGTCGATGTGCACCGCCATGCCTACTGTAGAATCAACGCTCTTGACATTGATGTTGTCCTTGAGCGAGATGGGAAGGCCGTGTAGGGGGCCCATTGGTTTGCCTGTTTCAGCAAAATATTGGTCTCGAGCGCGAGCCATGGCGATGGCGCGATCGAAGAAGGTCTCGGACAAGCAGTTTGTCTAGGCTGGGTTAGCATAGAACAACCGGGAAGTGAATGGAAATGAAGAAAAAGGGAAACAAGAGAGACAAGAGGAAGAAACTCACAAGTTGATGCGCCGCAGCTGCTCGCTTGCAAAACGCCAGAGTAACATCTTCCGACTTGAGAACGCCCGTCGCCAGCTTGGAGAGGAGCTCTTCAATAGTCGAGTTGGTGATGGCCAACTCTTCCTCTGTGAACCACCCAGACGTCTCAGGCCAGCCGGTCACGTCGTCTTGTGACTCCGGAGGCATCAGGTTCTCCGGGATGCGCCATTCCTTGGGTATGGAGGCCTGCAGCTCGCTGCGCTTCTTTGCGCCGAGCTCCTCCCACGACCGCTTTGCGCCACTGGCAGCATTTACACCGTTGGCGGCGCTGCTGGCGCCGTTGGTGAGGTTGGAATCTCCAGAGACGGTCATGTCGACTTTGGTCTTTGTCTGCTGACCTTGTTTGATTCCAGGAGTGATGTTTAGAGAAAAATACAAAGAGGAGGCGTCTTGACAAAGAGAATATGTCTAGTCACTTCAAGTGGCTTGGTAGACGGCAAGGATAAGGTTAGAGTCGGGGCTTATTGCTTTGACCCCGTCGCCCTGGGTCTAATGTATCCTTTTTCTCTCGTCTCTCTCCTCCTCCAAACCGTTCAAGATGCCAAGAGCAAGCCAAATAATTCCGAAGACCCGATGCCGGATGTCCTGTCCGTGATACGATAAACCCGCATGATTCCATTTCGTCAGGCTCTGCTCCGTACGATGGCTTGAGGCTGGCCCAGTGCGGGGTCTCTCGCATTCCCGGGGTCAGAGGATGCCGTTGATGCCATGGGGTCCAGTTGCCGATACGAATGCATGCTTCTTTCGAAACGAGCAAGAGGAAACTAATTCATCTCCAAAAGGTGGACCAGTGGCTAGGGGGGGTTTCCCGATGCCTTGATTGTGCCGTTTGCTGAGCAATGAAGCGCCTTCTTCTCCACCAACTTATCGCACCGCATGCTGAGGAGATGCGTTGGATAGATTGATTGCCTGTTTCGGCATGGACCAACGTTCCATGTGCGGCACCGCGTTAAGCTTCATATCTTTGGATTGTGGAGTTGATCAAGGGGAGGGGCGTGTCTCGCAACTAGCCGCTGGTGGCTTGATGCCATGCACCCCAGCTTTTAGTTGCGATATAAGAGATGTCGAGTTGATATTGCTGATAGGCACAAGTGCGAGAGGCATTGCTAATCTCTTTGCTCACCGTGTGGATGGTTCAATAGTTGATGCTTAGCACCGGCATGAGATCCGGTTCTTGTCTCCGCGTGTCGAGCTGAATGTTCAGCTGAGCAAACGCGGTGGCAACCGTTTAACTTGATCAGGATGATAATCAACCATGTCCATGGGGCTGGGAGCACGGATCTGCCTGGGATGCGCAGCCAATGGCGGTGCTTTGGGCTGAGGGGGACGAGTGAGACCTGCTTTAGTAGCGTTAGCGCATCATGTAGATGTTGAAGTGCTTGAGAAGTGAATGAACGGTGGGAAGTGAAAGGGATAGCAGCGGTTTGAAGTGAGGCATCCTCGCGTATGAATTTCTCAGCATTCTGCAGTATGCTATGGGGACGGTTGATTGCACTATATGGAAGAGAAGATTGGTGAAGCGCAAAGCCGTCTCATACGTTGGTCGAATGCAGATGCGGCTTATACAAGGCATGCAACCCAGTGCAAGAGAGTGGATGGTCGTAATACCATCGTTCTGTTGTTTTCATCATGATTTAGGGTAACACAGTTTTGACACCTTGAGCAATGAATGAAACTGTTAATGACTGGTTGGCGAGTTGCACCATGACACGCATACTCACACACACACAATCCAAGGCTTTTAGGTTGGAAATAATGATAATAATATCAACATCGTGTATGGACAAAGGTGATGAGCAAAATGATTGCTCGACAACCCTTTAATGTACTATTGTAAAGTATCCACAGACAACACAGACAACTCGCTGTTTCCCGTTTGCTCAGCAAGACCAAGTCAACACGACTCCCAAATCCCTGCGTAATGTAACATGTTGCCCTTTTAAAAAAAAATCCCGTCAAATACATCGTATATCCTTCCAATAGACACTAAACTCGAAATCGCTTTCACTTCGCCAAAACACGGAAACCAAATCGTTTATAGCTACACCAAACCTTTCATCTTCCACCGGTCCTCGCATCTGGCTAAACCATCCGGGTATCGTCGAACGCCCGCGTGATTGCAATTATGCCAGTACGCTCGTATAACATCACACTGTTTCACCGAGCTCGCGTTGATACCGGCCAGATATGCCGGGACAGCCATGTGGATGTAAAACTGCGAAGACGACGGCGTTGCTGCAATGATCTGACACGTCCGGTCCACAGCCAGGGAAATGGTGGCTGCCTTGGATATCGCCGCGAGCTCCTCGCTCACTCGGGTCAGCACGGCAATGACTCCCGCACAGCGATAAGCGTTTGCTGAACGATCCCAGTCGGTAGTGCCTTGGTTAAGCTTGAGGAGCTGCTCCATGGCGAGAATGGCGCTGTTGGAGGGATTCGAGGCCACCTCACCACTCGCCACGCGCGTGAAGAGCTGAAAAGTGTCGGCTGGGCAACCGACTGTTCGGAAGAAACTATCAGTCAGGAGATGGCGGTGCCAGCTCTCAAAGATGAGGTCCGTCGTCCCTCGGATGATGCTGCCAGTAGTGTCGAACCAGACCAGACGAACCACCATCTCGCCCAGGCCGGTGACGCTCCGTGATAACGTGTCCAGCTCAGCCCGGCTCTTGCAGTGGTAGTCCAGCAGCGATTTGGCGCCATAGAGATGTCGTTGCCAGTCGCCAAAGCCACTATCGCACACCTCGAAGAAGGCAAAGGCCGCGATGCCGATGAATGCAAAGGGGTTGGTGGCCTTTAGCGTATCCTTGAGGCTCATGAGGGCGTCCAGCCGGTATCGCGCCATGACCTCAGACTCCCACAAGTCTCCGCGGCCGGTCGAGGCTCGAGCCGGATGGCCATCGATGCGGGCCTGGACAAAGTCGCGCAGCCGCGAGATGAGGCGCAGGGCCTCGACGGACAGATAGTGGTTGCTCCGCAGCGCATCGCCGTCCAGCGAGATGATTTGCTGGCACAGCGACACCAGCGGCCGGATGAAGCTGTTCTGGTCGGCCTCGGACCAGTTGATGGGCTCGTCGCCGGGGCTCGACGCCGGGCGGTCAGGCGGCGACAGGGAGGAATCCGCCGGGCGGTCCGGGGTGAGACCCGAGTCGCTGGACCGCGACAGCGTCGACTGCGATCTGGCCTGGCGAGGGCGCGTGATGGCCGGGGAGGCGGACGAGAACGAGGCATCCCTTGCCGACGAGCTGGCGCCGACCCAGATGACTCGCTGCGGATAGCCGCCACACGGCACGCCGGCAGCGATGCACTGTTACACAAGACATGGATGAGCGTTGGTGGACGTGGTATCATGGGGGAAGGGTTAAGCAACAAGCAACAAGCAACACACAAGACACGAGACAACAACAACAACAACAAGGGCTGGGAGGGATGAGGGCATACCCACTTCTCCGCAAGAGGGTCTGTTGAGATCGCACTTGACGTCTCTTAGCTTGCAGCTGCGACAGTCCCGATCCCGGCGCATGCCACGCGGCTTTCCGACTGGCTTGTTGCGCTGCTGGAGAACCCCATCTTTGGTGTTGGAACTGGAAGCCATTCCCAACTTGCTCGATTGGGTAGGTTGTCAAACAGCAAATCGGGAAGGCAACCAAACAAGGGCGAAGACAAACACGACAAACAAGGGCGTGGGGGAGGAGGAGGAGGAGGGGGGGTGGGCGGGAGTGGATTGACAAGGGGAGAGGGGAGGAGAAAGAGGAGAAGGGGAGAAGTATAGCTGAAGAAGAAGAATGGTGAGAGGGAGAAGAGATCAGGGCATGTCTAGCATCACGATGCGCTGGTGTGGATTAGGTAGATTGTATGTATGTAGGCGAGCAAAGGATTCTGGCCCGTCTGCGGGGGTTGCAAGGAACCGATCTCGTTATCGCAAGCTCCATAGTGCGACTCTGGTTAATTGCTCGGCAGCCTACCGGGACGGAGACGAGGGCCAGTTTCTCCGCATGGCATGGCAGAGAGAGTAGCAGTAGTATGAGTTTTGAAACTAACAGTCCAGTCATCAGCAACGAGACTCACTCACTCCGTACTGTCACTCAGTTGGCGACGATATGGAGCCTCGTGAGAGCTTGGCCCCCATCCATTACCCCAGCTTTTCTTCTTCTTTTTTCTCTTCCCTTCCGAAAGAGGGGACAACTGCTGTGCTTCCCCACGCCTGATTCACCGGCCGGTGACGGACTGACGACGCCCTCGACAAGGAGGCTTGAGACTAGAAGCATCAGTACTACTGTAGTCTACCTTTTAGTGCGGTTGAGTTATCGAGTTCCGTCCGCACAGAGTAGAATCATGACACTGCATGCCTAAAGCCAGCGCTAGAGACTTTCCATGCCAAACCGCAACAGGGATCCCAACTTGAACTCGGCCAACTTTCTTCTTAGTTTATACACCATTGAGCTCCCAACAGCCACTAAATGGGCGTATCTGGCCCTCGATCCGGTTCCATCGCCGCCTCTCACGCGACAAGCCGAAAAGGCGCGAAGCTCGGACTACAAACTTGTGCTAGTATCTGGGCATCGTACTAGACAAGATGTTGGAGATAACGGGGGGGCGAACTAACAAGGCGCCTCTTATCTCGCCACTGCGATAACTAACTCAGCAGCGTTTGTTGCTTATTGCCGGCACTGACTCCGGTTCACATGGGCTTGTTTAGCCGACGACGGGCGCTGGGCAAGAAACGAGGTTCCGACGGGGGTGTGTGGCCGATCAGTGATGACTGATGAGGGAGCATCCAGGCTCATAAGATCCACCAAACACCCTCGCATTCTTTGTCCTGTGATTGACCATCAGAGAGAGCATCAGCTGCAAGGTCTCCTCCATCGCTGCTTTTGCGTGAGGAAAAAGAGAAAAAAGAAAATCCTTCACAGACTCTTTTGTCCTTGTCTTGCGCTGAGAGCGGAAACCGGAGGCGGCTCGACCCTCCTCGGCACTTCAAAATGGTGCACCAAAAAGTCCGCGACTATTTCCATGCGGATTATAAGCCTGGAGAGCGGACGCTGATTCGCAAGATTGACTTTTTCATCTTGACGTTTTGCTGTCTCAGCTACTTTATAAATTATGTGCGTGTAACGCTCTGCCTCGTGCACCTGGGCTTTACTAATTAGAGTCTCGTCAGCTTGACCGCTCCAACCTCGCCAATGCTTACGTCTCGGGCATGAGAGAAGACTTGGGCTTTGTTGGGAACCAGCTCAATGTCATTAATACTTGCTTTACCGTTGGGTAAGTGACCAATCTTGTCCCTCTATACCAGAAACGCGGAGAGTTGGAGAGACACAGAGATCAGTTGCTAACAAGATTGGATTCGTAGCTATGTCTTGGGTCAGGTCCCCTCCAATCTTTCCCTCTACTATGTCAAGCCGCGCATCTGGTTCCCCTGCATGATGCTCTGCTGGGGCGGCCTCACCATGGTTACCGCCTCCGTCCAAAAGCCGCAATCCATCATGGCCATTCGCTTTTTCCAAGGAATCTTTGAGGCCTCTACCTTTGTCGGTACGCATTACATCCTTGGCGCCTGGTATACAGAACGCGAATTGGGAAAGCGCAGCGGCATCTTCACCTCATCGGGTCTCGCCGGTAGCATGATTGGTGGCTTCATCCAGACGGGCATTCACAAAAGCCTCAACGGCCGCAGCGGACTCGCAGGATGGCGCTGGCTCTTCATCATCGATGGACTTCTCACCATTCCCGTCGCTCTGTACGGTTTCTTCTTCTTCCCGGACACACCCCGCAACACAACGGCCTTTTATCTTACAGACGATGAGAAGGCTCTGGCTGTGGCCCGCGTTCCTGTCGTTGAAGAGCATTCGCCCATCACTTTCCGCTTTCTTAAGAAGGTCCTTTTGTCCTGGTACTGGTGGGGGTTTGTCATGCTCTGGGTCATTGCCGGAGAGACGGAGTCGTTTTCTTCAAACTCACTTCTTGCCCTCTACCTCAAGAGCCATCCCACAACCAAGTACACAGTCTCTCAACTCAACAATTACCCTACTGGAGTACCTGCTGTTGGAATTGTTTCGACTTTATTCTGGGCTACACTGACAGACTTCTTAAACGGCCGGCGATATTTAGTAGGGTATTGGATCGGAATAACAGGAATTGCCACGTCTATCATGGTCTTGGTAGCATCACACAACCCAACCAGCTCGCATTCTACCTCGGTGACAATGGCCGCTTATTACTGGGCAGGATCCGTTTACGCTTGTCAAGCAACCTTCTTCGCCTGGTGTAACGACTCGATGAGATATGAAGAACATGTCTTCCGAGCTGTCGTTTTGGCTGGAATGAATTTAGGAAATAACGCAGTGAATGCATGGTTAGTATCACGGCTTTGTTCTTGTTGGAGTGGTTGTTGTTGCATCAACAACAGAGTACTAACGCCCCTTTTCGCAGGTGGAGCATCATCTTTTACGGAGCTTCTGAGGCTCCGTGGTTCATTGTAAGTTTACGCGGGTTTCCCTTATTAATTATTAATTGTTAATTATCAATTATTAATTATTAATTATTAATTATTTACTAACTTGGGGTTACAGCGTGGAATGTGGGCAATGATTGCTTGTTGTATCGCCCTCGTGATCTGGACCATTATTCTAGCCTACACGGACCGCCGTGATAGGAAGAATCGTGAGCTTGACGAAATTACTGGCACACTGAGCATTACGGTTGAAAGCAAGGAGAAGGAGTAGCGTGGCTGTTGGTTGTTTTCGTTATGTTGTGCATAGTTAATTTACATTATTTTCAATCCGCGTAACTAATGATATACTCTGTAAACGATGGATGAAGCACATAATAACTACATTTGACTTTAGATACATTTATATGTGTCTTTGTCTCACAATGTGCTGGGGTCATGTAGTCAATTTATTGTATGTGTCGAGGTGCTAGTACAATGAGCCAGGTACCTCTCCCGCAATCACACATCAGTCTCATTCGCTCATACAAATATGTCTTTACTGGACTGTCCATTATTGGTATTGATAGGATGAATTTCTGGTCGATATTTTCTTCAATGGCGAGAGATATCTTGTTGTTATTTCACGATCGCTAGTTGCAGTTGTGGGCTGTGACGGTGTATGACGCGATGACATTGCCGTTACAGATCATGATATACCGTTGCTTGTGAAGGACAATAGCAAAACAGACGTCAAAATTTGGTAACAGATATGCTGTAGAAGTTGGTAATATCAAGATCTAGAAACCGTCGTCGAGCGGTGGTCGTCGCAGTCGCACGTTGAGGCAGCCGCGCCGATTGACTAGTTGGCAGAGCGCGTCGCTTCAATTTCCATCACTTGGCAATGCGCTGTCATAATCCTAGAATCTGATTGGCTTTTTTCATCTGTTTCTTTTGCTTAATTTTAGAAAAAAATCTCTTTTAGTTGGGAATCGTGCATCTACTTCCTCGATGTTTGGGTTCGCGCTTCTTTCTATTGTCTCTTCAGCCTACGTCGCAACTCGCCGTCTCTCGGCCAGATTTAGTGACTTGCCTTTTCATTTTCTCTCTCCCTCGCACGAAGCCACATGTGAACAACTGAATTCTCTTGAAGTATGGCACCAAAAGGAAAAGAAAAGGCGTCGAGCCCAAGGATTCTGAAGGTCACAAACCGAGATCTCGTCTGACACCCTAAACACGGCGGGGAGCCTGAGCAAGTTGAGCCTGGAGACCCGGAATGGGATCAAGGGATTGCATGCATCCAAACATTTCAATCTCAAGCGACATCGTTGAGCCTAAGTTAGCAAGAGGAGATGCTGGAGATCATACAAGGCTTGCACTATGTGATTCCGCCTTCAGCCATTGACGCCCCAACGTCTCATAAATTGTACAAGAAGGCAATAAAGACAGTTGCCTCCGGCCCCGAAAGCATCTCCTGGCCGACTTTTCTCATCCTGTCAACTTTGTATAAAAAGGTACCAGCGAAATACATTGAGGAGATTCGCCGAGTGCATGGGAGAACATCAACGGACGACCTCACCAGCGAATACCTGGCCATTGACGGGATGGAGCCGGCTGAACTGTCACACAACCAAATACCAAGGTAACGAAGCAAACCGACTTCCGACGTTGAAGGAATTGAAGCGACCGAGCCACGGAAGACGGCTCTTTCGCAGAGCAAGACTAATGGTGAGGATCCCAAGCGTCAGGAGTCTCCGAACTCTGCGGCTACCAAACAACATCGGCGAACGGCAGCCCAAGTGCAGGAGAAGGGGTCCGCCATCCGTAACAACGCGGCGATAGCGAGAAAAGCTGCTGAGGACCAGGCCGCGTCTGGACCGGCGCCACCCAGAGACATCTACGACTTTCTGTCTGATAACGACAGCCAAGAGTCGATGCAAGTGGATAGAACGACGTCGACTGGGCCCCCTACTACTACTACGCCGCCTCTATCTTCTAATACTACGAAGCCGGCCCCCAAACGAGCCACCAAGCGTTCGGCCCTACGCAAGAAAGAACCGTTGATTTTACCCCCCGACATATCGCTTTCGTCCGCTCAAAAGCGACCAGCTTCGCCCACTGCCACAAACAGAACTCCCAAGCGCGTGAGGTTTCTGGACGACGACGCTGCTTTCCAGACTACCATCGAAGCTCGTTACAGCGCGATGGAGGACTTTTTTCGCAATTTGAGCTCTGGCGCGACCCAAGTCCCCGTTGCTTGCGGCAATTCCACAATTATCGAAAAACAAACCAAGGAAATGTTGGAGATCAACAAGAAGCTGGTTTCTACGACGCAAACAGTCGCCAGAGTGACGACGACACTTACCGAATTTATGTCAAATCTCGAACGCAGCCTCAAAACTCACTGTGATAAGGACACTTCCTCGAAGAACAAGTCGAAGAGTACTTGAAGGCGACTGATACGGAGCTTAAACTCGCTCTTTGTTCTAGGAGCTCGGCCGATAACCACGATATTCCCACATACCAATGACGACAGAGACAAAGACGTAATACGGAGAGTGCTCTAGGGGATCCTTAGAGAACTTGGATCAGTATGTAAAGGAGGATGCTGGGATATATTAATGTTAAAAGGAAACTAAATAAAGATAGGACTATAGCGTTATATACTATAGCACTATAGATCTTTATAATTATATATAAAATACTTAAGGGTATAGTTCTTAAGGTAATTAATATTTTAAAATAAATTAAAAAATTTTTAAATATATTAAAATAATTAATTTAATATTTAAAAATATATAATATTTTAATTTTATAATTATAAATAAAAACTTTAATTTTTTTTTAAATAAAATAAAGTTTTTTATTTAATTTTTATTATTTAATTTTTAAATTATATATTTTATAATAATTATAAACTTAAGTAATATAAAAGTTATATTTATTATTTAAAGGTTTAGTAAAATTATAATAGCTAGGTTAAAAAAAGGCTATATCTTAGCCTTTAATTTAAAATCTAGAATTAATTTATACCTTAACTTAATTAATTATAATTAATTAAGTTAAACTTTAAAAATTTAGGCTATAAAGTATGGAGGTTATATTTATTATTAAGAGGTTTAGTAAAGCTATAACAGCTAGGTCAGAGGAAGGCTATGCCCCAGCCTTTAGTTCAAAATCCAGAATTAATCCGTAGCTTAACCTAATTGGCCACAGCCGACTAAGTTAAACCTCAAAGATTCAGGCTATAAAGTATAACCGCTAATCAAGGTTTAAGACTAAACTCAAAATGCGTAAAAAGGCCCGAACAACAAGGTTTAAGCACAACGCAAGCTTTAAGCCCGCAACTTATAGTTCAATGACTTAACTAGACCAGATAGGATTGTTCCGTTAGGTTATAAAAGGCAGCGATAATCCTGCTTGCAAATGGATTGCGTACGCAACGCAAAAGACCACCCGACGAGACAACGCACCACAAAAGCAACGAACCCTTGTAACAAAATCCTAATACTATTGGCGCCGCAGAGAAGGTCTGCTAGAGCCTAAAGAATAAATAAGGCAGAAGAGGGCAACCTAAACTAACTACGAAAGAGAAGACGTGGATCAGCTGGGCTACTGCTAAGTAAAAGAATTAGTAAAGCACTAGCTAATAGCTGCTAGACAAAGGTTTAATAATAATTATTTTAATCTTAGCTCTTAGGCAGTTTATCCTCTGTACCTAGGAGAGAGGCTATAAAGTATAATTACTAATTAAGGTTTAAAACTAAAGTTAAAATATATATATAAAAAGGCTTAAATAATAAAGTTTAAGTATAATATAATTAGCTTTAAGTTTATAATTTATAGTTTAATAACTTAATTAAATTAAATAAACTAATTATTTTATTAAGTTATAAAAAGTAGTAATAATTTTTAAAAATAAATTATATATATAATATAAAAAATTATTTAATAAAATTATATACCTTAATTACTTATTAAAAAAGATAATTATTATAAAAGCTTCTAAGTAATAACTATAACTTAACTTTAACTTAAGTAAAATAGCTAAGTAAATAATTAAATTTATAATTAATAAAATTATAAATTTATAATTAAAAGTTTAAAAAAAAAAACTAAAGCTAAGTAAAGTAAAATATAAGCTAAATTAGCTAAAGAGTATTAAAAACCTTAAGTTAAGTAAAGGGATTAAGAAAATTATTAAAAAAGCTAATAAAATAGCCTAAAATAATAAATAAAATTTATATAATTATATATATATAGCTAATTAAATTAATTAATTAATTAAAGGCTATATATATAAAGGCTTTTTTATAATTAATTTTTTTTAAGTAATTTATTTTTTATACTTAAGAGAGAAACTTAAGTAATATAATATATATTAAGAATTTTTATTATATTAAATTTAATTAATTTTATTATTTTATTTAAAATAAATATTTTTAAAAACTTTAATAATAATATTATTTTAATTATTAAATTTGTAATTTTAAATAATTAAATTAAATAAATTAAAATTTTATAAAATTATATTATTAATAAAGAAATTTAAAAATATATAAACTTAAATTATAAAATATTTATAATTAATTTATTAAAATTATTATAATAAATAATTAAAGTTAAAATTATTATTAAAATAATAAAAATATATAAGAAAATTAATATAAATTTATTTAAAAATATAATTAAAAAAATATATAATTTATTATTTATTAAAGTAAATAATTAATTAATAAAATTTATTTATAAATATAAAGTAAATTTAATTATTTTTAATTAAATTATTATAATAATTAATTTTAAAATATATTAAATAATTTTTATAATTTTATAAAATATTAATATAAAAAAAAAATTTATAATATATAAAACTTTTAAAATATTAAAAAAATACTTAATTTTAAATATTTATAATATTAAAAAATATATATATTAAAATTATTAAGTAATATTTTTAAAAATATAATATAATAATTATAAATTAAAAATTTAATATATATAATAATTAAATACTTTTATAAAAATTAAAATATATAATTTTAATAAAATATAAAATATTTTTAATATTAATAATTTTTTAATTATTATAAAAGTTATATTTATTATTAAAAAGTTTAGTAAAGCTATAATAGTTAAGTTAAAGGAAAGCTATACCCTAGCTTTTAGTTTAAAATCTAGAATTAATTTATAACTTAACTTAATTAGTTATAATTAACTAAGTTAAACCTTAAAGATTTAGGCTATAAAGTATAACTAATTAAGGTTTAAGACTAAACTTAAATATATATATATATATATAAAGGCCTAAATAATAAAATTTAAGTATAATATAATTAACTTTAAGCCTATAATTTATAATTTACTAACTTAACTAAACTAAATAGGCTAATTATTTTATTAGGTTATAAAAAGCAGTAATAATCCTACTTAAAAATAAATTATATATATAACGCTTTTAAAATTAAAAAACTACTTAATAAAACTATATACTTACTTATTAAAAAAGATAATTATTATAAAAGCTCCTAAGTAATAGCTATAACCTAACCTTAACTTAGAATATATAGTAAAATAGCTAAGTAAATAACTAAATCTATAATTAATAAAATTATAAACTTATAATTAAAAACTTTAAAAAAGGAAAAACTAAAGCTAAGTAAGGTAAAGTATAAGCTAAACTAGCTAAAGGGTATTAAAAACCCTAAGCTAGGCAAAGGAATTAAGAAAATTATTAAAAAAATTAATAAAGTAGCCTAAAATAGTAAGTAAGATTTATATAACTATATATATATAGCTAGTTAAACTAGCTAACTAATTAAAGGTTACTATATATAAAAGCTCTTTTATAATTAATTCTTTTTAAGTAATTTATCCTTTATACCTAGGAGAGTTTTAATTATTATTTTAATTAAATTTATATTTAATTAAAAAAACCTTAAAATTTAATAAATTTCATAAAAATATATTAATTTTATAAAAAAATTTATTAATTACTAAATAATATAAAACTTTATTTTTAATTAATATAAAAAAAGTTTATAATAAAAAAAATTAAAGATTTTTTATAAAGGTTATATTTATTATTAAAAGGTTTAGTAAAGCTATAATAGTTAAATTAAAGGAAAACTATACCTTAGTTTTTAATTTAAAATCTAAAATTAATTTATAGCTTAACTTAATAAACTATAGTTAACTAAGTTAAATTTTAAAAATTTAAGTTATAAAATATAATTAATTAAGGATTAAAACTAAACTTAAAATATATAAAAAGGCCTAAATAATAAAATTTAAGTATAATATAAACTTTAAGTTTATAATTTATAATTTAATAACTTAATTAAATTAAATAAAATTATTTTATTAAGTTATAAAAAATAGTAATAATTCTTAAAAATAAATTATATATATAATATAAAAAACTACTTAATAAAACTATATACCTTAATTACTTTTTTTTATTATACTTAAACTAAAATATTAGTAAACTTAATTTATTAATTAAAAAAAATAATTATTATAAAAGCTCTTAAGTAATAACTATAATTTAACTTTAACTTAAAATATATAGTAAAATAACTAAGTAAATAATTAAATTTATAATTAATAAAATTATAAATTTATAATTAAAAGTTTAAAAAAAAAAAAAAAAACTAAGTAAAGTAAAATATAAGCTAAATTAACTAAAGGGTATTAAAAACCTTAAGCTAAGTAAAAAAATTAAGAAAATTATTAAAAAAGTTAATAAAGTAACCTAAAATAGTAAGTAAGATTTATATAACTATATATATATAACTAATTAAATTAATTAATTAATTAAAAATTACTATATATAAAGGCTTTTTTATAATTAGTTTTTTTTAAGTAGTTTATTTTTTATATTTAAAAAAAATACTAAATATATATAAGTTATACTTTAATAAATACTTAATTATTTATTTCTTAAAGTTATCCTAGGTTTAAGTTAAACCCTTAGTAAAGCCTTTAGAAATTAAAATTATTATTAATTTAAGTTTAGTTTAAGTTTAACTTAGAATTAAGTAAATATTAATTTAAATATAACTTAAATTTATAATATATTTCTTTTATTTTTTTTTAAATATATTTAAATTAATTTCCTTTATAATTTAAATATAATATTTTATATTATTTTATAAATAAAGTATTAAATTATTATTTTATTTAAATATAATTATTATAAATATTATAATATATATATATATAAATTATTTTATTTTTCTTATATTTTTTTTATAAAACTTTATTATATTAACTTATACTAAAGTAAAGTTTTAATAAAAAAATTTATTTTTTTAAGTAAATATTATTAAATTTTTTATATATTTTTATTTTTTTATATATAAGCTTTATATAAGCTTTTTTTACTTATTATAAATTTTTATATAAACTTAATATTTATTTTACTTTTTAAAACTTTATTATTATTACT